GGTTTAATTCATACCTGCCAGTCATGCCTCCCATGCTGTAATTAGTCTTCCCACTTTACAGATGGAGAAACTGACACCAAGAGGCGAGGGTGTTACTGAGGGCTACAAGGTCACTAGTGACACAGCCCAGGTGACAAGTCCAGGTCGGTCTGCCTCCTACCCCCCACCTTATACTCATCCCACTAGGCTTCACTGCTGCTAAAAAGCCTTTTCTCAATAACTACAACGGCCACTGCTCTAGTTTAGAAAGCCTGCAGCCCCACTGCGTGTCTACAACAGAGCTCAAAGACTCCCAGCACCAGCTGCGAACTAGCCACCCATCTGCTGGGAAATGCAGCCCTTCTTGCCCTGGCCTTCGGAAAGGCCACAGATTCTTCACACCAGCCAAGAAATGTCAAGAAGAAAGTTTGGGTCCCTCTTGTAATTGCAATAAAAACCCCAGTGGCTTCTACACATGGGGAAATCCCCTGTCTCTTCTGACCCTTAAAATAGTCCATCTTTCACCCTACTTAATAAATGTCTCCTTTTTCAGTTTTTCTTTCTCCCCCAGGTAATGGTGGGAGAGAGAGGATATTTGTTTATTTCTCTAAAATCTGTCCCCACACCACCACTCCATGAAATGTTACTTCCTCTTAGTACTGGAACATAGTAGGAGGATTCATTCAGTGAAGATCAAAATGACAACCGGCTGTCAGTGGCGAGGCCTCCCAGATACAAGGTGGTCAGTAGACACCCTTCCATTAGAAAACAGGTAGAAGGTCACTCCCTGACCACCGCACTCCAAACTCATCTTTTCCTTCCATGTGACAAGCAGCCACAAAGCCGCCTTCCTCTGCGGAACCCCCTCAGGGCCTCAGGCTGGAGTGGGGGCGGTGAGGGGGTAGGAAGAACCGTGCAAACCACAGTTGCATGTCATTCAGAGTCATAAGCCTGCCTTGCAGCTCTGCCCCACAGACCATTTTAAACTTCAGTCCAGGGGACGATCATGACGTTTGTCAAGGTCTGTGACCAGTTGACTATCACACCCGTGGGTGAAAAAGATACACTCATCATTGCCCACGGTGCAATCTAAAGTAAGGTCTTCTTTAATGCTCGGGAAGAATTAGAGGTCAAACATCCTTTTAGGCTTCAGAGCAAAAAGAACATCTCAACTGGAGAGCCCATTCTTTCATTTGCTCACTCATTTGATAATTTATTTCATGTGCTGTTGTGGGTCAGGTGGCCCAGATGAGATGTTGATAGAGAGACTTGCGTGCACAAGTTTATGGGAGAGTGCTCTTGGGGACGAGACTTGTGAAGGATGCGAGATACTGAAGTGAGACCCAGTGGCCACCAAGGCCTCCCCTGAACCCGATCCCGCAGAGGGCTCTGGAGCTAGAATGTTTCCCTTCAGAGTCGCTCCACCTTGAGATAGAGGACAGAACTGCTACGTCCCCTCCTGGGTGCCCCATGGAGGAGGGAGGATGTTGGGTGAGACAGGTCTCTTCCACTAACAGCAATTCCCAGAGAGGGATCCCGCTGGCATGTGCCATCCTTCCAGCCCCCCTGGGGGGTCAGGGGAGAATCTGGGTGGCATGTCAGAGTGGAGCCCCCAAGTGCCAACTAACAACCAGCATTTAATTTAACTAACCTGAACTTTTTTCTCTGAATTAGATAATCATGGAAAACACATGTGGGAACATACCAGGTTCTCTTTAAATTAACCCTACAACTGAGTCAATGTAATAAACAACTATTAAAAACTGTCCTATAGGGGGCGCCTGGGTGGCTCAGTCGGTTAAGCCTCTGCCTTCGGCTCAGGTCATGATCCCAAGATCCTGGGATTAAGCCCCCATTCGGGCTCCCTGCTCAGCGGGAAGCCTGCTTCTCCCTCTCCCACTGCCCCTGCTTGTGCTCCCTCTCTCGCTGTGTCTCTCTCTGTCAAGTAAATGGATAAAAATCTTTTAAATAAGTAAATAAATAATAAACAAACAAACTATCCTATGGTACACGACCCGGAAATCCAGCTACAGGTAAACAAACTACGGTATATTTATAGAATGAGCCACTGCTCAGCACTAGAAATGAATGAACCTTGAACACATGCTACATCACAGATGAGCCTCAAAATAATTATCCGAGTGAAAGAAGCCAGACAAAAGAAAGTACATACTGTATGATTCCATTTATATAAACTTCTAGGAAATGAAAACCTAATCGATAGAGACAGAAAGCAGATCCGTGGTGGCTTCAAGATGGAGGTAGGGAGGGACAGGAGGAAACCTGTACACTATCTTGATAGAGACGGAGCTGTTCAGCGGTGTATGCGTGTGTCAAAGTGTATCAAATTGTACACTTCTGACAGGCAGAGTTCATTATGTCACTCACCTCAATAAAGCTACTTGAACAACAACTACACTGTGGAAGGATGGGTGCCAGGAACACCAAGGTTCCCAATGAAGCAAACTCTGTGTTCAGGAAGCTGGGAGACAGATGCATCCTCAATGAAATAGAATGCAAATCAGAACAAAAACCAGTATGAAAAAAAGAAAAACTAATTATGGGGCAAAGAAAAGTAGAGAGGTAATTTTTTTTCCAGAAGTACAGAGGACAGTAATGGCTAACTATGTGCCAGGTACTATGCACATTAACTTCTTTCATTCTTATAGCAACTATATGAGTGGGTACTGTTATTGTACCCATTTCACAGGTGAGCAAATAGGCTTTGGCTCCAGAATCCATGTTCTTAATCACTAGTCCCTACTCCTAAGAAATGCCACATTATATCTGGGCCTTAGAAGAGGACTAGAATCTCCTGAGAGAGAAGGCCATTTTGGGCAGAGAGGAAGCAGTATGAACTATGACCCAGCAAGACTGTGACTAACAAAATATACTCTATGCTTGAAATATAGCAAGAATTTTCTATGAGCATATTTTGAGTCCGGGTGGAGAAGGGGGCTGAAAAGTAGATTGATGTCAAAGGTGTGAATGGCCTTTGACAATTTGCTGGAGTTTGGACTACAATCTTCAGGCAAAAGGAAACCACTGGAAGTTTTTGAGCAGAAGAATATTTGTGTTTTGGAAAGGGAATGGGAAAAAAAAAACAGAAAATCTACCTGTCTGCAGTTAAATGAACACCTGGAATGTTTCACGGAAACCCATTCACAGGTATTGCACTAAAATCACATTAAATCAATAGATCTGGGCTGGACTACACTGTAATTTTAATTTCAACCTCAGGATATTTTATTCTTTCATCCCATTCTGTTTTCACTTAGGTTTCCATATATTTTTACCCAACAGAGAAAATTACAGAAAACCACCACTGGAAAAGAGAGAAGCAAAGGCACCTGGGTGGCTCAGTTAGTTAGGTGTCCAACTCTTGATTTCGGCTAAGGTCATGATCTTAGCGTTCTGGGATGGAGCCCTGCGTTGGTCTCCATGCTCAGTGGGGAGTCTGCTTAAGGATTCTCTCTCTCTCCCTCCCTCTCCCTCTGCCCCTCCCCCGGCACTGACTCACTCACTCTCTCTCAAATAAATAAATGTTTAAAAAAAAGTGGGGCGGGGGGAAGCAAAGTGATCCTTCTCCAGGCCCCTATCTGAATTTAATTCACAGCTGGGCCAAGATTTTTTTCCACTGGCTTAAAATGAAAAGTCCCATGATAACATTTTTACTTCTGTTTCCTGTAAAAGTGGTTTTTGACCTCCTCATACATTCAAGTTAGAGGATAAAGTCACAATCTAGAAAATCAGTATTTAGGTCCAGACAAGATGTTGGCTCCATCATGGCCCATGTTATATTACCAGAAGTAAACTCCTTTCCTTCTGTGCCTTGACAGGAAGCATTAGGAGATCCTATAAGGAATAGCACTCTTCCAGGTGAAAAATGTGAGAAATTATAAACTAACCGTGAGAAATTCACATCTGCCATGGGAGGCCCAAAGAGACACCTTCTACCCAGTTCCTTGGGCTTTCTTAAGGAGGTAGGAGACAGGGTACAGAAATAATGCATCACGCTAAAGCAAGGACATGACAGTACCAGGATAATCAAATGCTTAGACACCAGAGAGCCTTAAATATGAAAACTGGAGGGAATTTCATGCCCCCCCCAAAAAAAAAAAAATCAGACCAAAGACTGAAGTCTTGGCTTGTCTTCTCAGCTCTGCCATTGACTATATCACTTCAATCGAACTCCTTAGTTCTCTATTAAAAAAAAAAAAAAATGGTCGGATACAACTTATCCATTCCCTGTTTCCATAAGCAAGTCAATATATGTCAATAGAGTCAACAAGCAATTTATGGAGACTCCTCTCTGACCCCAGTCACACCAGCGGGTAGCAGAGTGAGGGCTAGCTGCTACATACCTTGATTTCTGTTCCAGAATACTGTCCGTGTTGCTCAAACTTGCCGTATGATACCCCAGAGAGCTTGTTAAACACACGGGCGGATCCTCATTCAAGTGAGATTCTGATTTAATCACTCTGGGGCTGACCCTAGCAAACTGCATTTTTTTTGGCTGGAAGCCCAAGGCCTTTCTATCATCATACAATTTGGGAAACATTACCTTATATCATATTACACCCTACAAGAAAATTCTATTTTCTCTCCTCTTTTCATTCTATCTGTTAAAATAGCTAAAATATTTGAGGGGCGCCTGGGTAGTTGGTTAAGTGTCCAACTCTTGATTTCAGCTCAGGTCACGATCTCCAGGTCATGGGATTGAGCCCCACATCAGGCTCCACGCTCAGCACAGAGTCTGCTTGAAGATTCTCTTTCTCCCTCTCCCTTTGCCCCTCCCTCTGCTTACACAGTCTCTTGCTTGCTCTCTCTCAAATAAATAAAATCTGTTAAAAAAAAAATAAGAAAAAAGGTAAAATATTTGAAAGACATTTTTGATGGATAAAATTTTCTTCACCCAAAGTATCAGTACATTTACAGAGTAACAACAGTGATTTTTGTTTTTAAATTTTATTATATTATTTTTTAAAGTAATCTCCACACCCAAGTGAGGCCTTGAGCTCACCACCCCAAGATCAAGAGTCACATGCTCTGCCAACTGAGCCAGCCAGGTGCTCCATCATTTTAATTAGAACCAGGGACAATTATTTCCTTTATAATTTTCCTAACATTGCAGTCTAGACTATTTTTTAACCATAAATTAGTATTTTGTTGTGTGGCCTAGAAAAAATGAAATAGTATATCTCAATTTGCCCAATTAATGATAATTAAAAACCAAAATGGTTCATTTGCCTATTGTCACCCCCAACTATGTCATATTCTCCTTAAAAACAAGGAATTTATCTTTTATACAGGATATCTTAGAACAATCCATGCTAGATGGCTGGATAGATGTAGATGGATGGGTAAGTGGATGAATGGATAGGTGGGTAGGGTAGACTGATACAGATTCTTTAAATGATCAAATAATGTGAATGAATGAATTCTGCCCCTGACAACCATTATACACAGTTGTCAGAAATGAAATATTCACAAAGGTTCAGCCAAAATTGTCCTGTTATCATGGTGTAATACTCTAGAGAAGTGACGACCAGTTTACATCACCACACAGGGAAATTTTAATCTCTCTCCCACCCCTCCTCCCCCGAAAAGCCTCACAACCTAGTTGATTTACCAGTACTACCCACGTGTGGCAGAATGATTTGTGCCACCAACACATCACTCACACCTCTCCACCATCGAGATGACACATGCGGTCCCCTAAATGTTCCACCCGGAGGTATTTTGGGGGCAGCGAGCCAAGAGGGGGCTTCCAGAGCCAAGGGAGGCATTGAGACACATGAGGTCACGGAGCTGTTACCTCTCCCCCTTCAAAAGAAACCACTCTGCTCCCTTCATTTCAGAATCTAGAGGAAGTTGACAAAGTGTGACAACAGCACAGCACACTATGTGGTGGAGACTTTGCAGCTTGCTGGCCTGGTTCCCCTTACAAGGTAAGGACTTCGAGCTCATTTCTGATGATACTCAGTTGACCTGGTATTTTACCAAATCTACCTATCAGTCAACTGCATTCACAGAGGACCTACAGCAAGAAGACAACCCAGGTAAGTGTGTGATTACTTTCCAAGCTACACCACCATCATACATGCAGGGATGTTACTGCTTTATTTAATCTCTTGTTCAATTGCTAATAAGTATAGGAAGGGCCACCGTAGCATGTGCCCTGTGGCGTATATGTTATGGCAAAATGCAACAAGCTCATTAGGCTCTGTCTCTTAAGTGCATACCAGGTAGAAGGGCATCAGTGTGGGATTTTAAAAGCTTCCTTGCTGTATAAGCCTTAGCCAGATAATTTAAGTTCTCTAAAAACTCAGTGTCTGCATCTTGAAATGAAGAGACGATTAATAATGTTCAACGGCCGAACTCCCTGGATTTTTAAAGGGATCAAATTTCAAAATGTGAAAGCACTTTGAAGATGGCAAAGTGCTCTAACTCTTCATTAGTTCAGAGATAATAATGAGCCCCATGGAAAATTCCTGCTTATTTTTTCAGTCAGTTATACTTTACATTGTATTATAATTCTCAAATTTGATCTTGGATGCTTACTGAATTCTAATGTAGCATGATAAAAATTTAAGACACTGTTACCTTTTTAGCACAGGTCAAATTATTCCTGATCAAAAGGGGGGCAGGGTGTAGGTGTCTCTAGATCTCTGATTGCAACTTGTACCAAAGTCTTAAAAAAGAAGCCATGCCTAAATGTATTGCTTGCTTGTTGTGTGTGTTTCCAAATATTGAACTGAATTATAGTTATGTTTCAGGTAATGCACCCATCCTTCTAAATCTGCATTCACCAGAGAACTGCATCTGAATGACACAATTTTAAAAAACTAGATTTCCTATTTTATGTAGTATTTCAATTTCCTATTTTATACAATTAAATTAAGTGCTTTCTTTTTTCATCCCTATACTCTGAGGCACTTAATATGAATTCAATATTTGGTAATAAATAATATTAGTTTCTTCAATAAGTGGCTTAAAGAAACAGCTCATATATTCAGGAAAAGTACATTTAGACAGCTAAAATTAGAATGTTTTCAATTATTCCAAAGTTTAAAGCCTTTAACTGACTTCCACTTTTTGAGCCAAGTTGGCATCCTATTACACTGTTTATTACTGAATATATAGATGTCCACGTTTTTAGCCATTAATTCAACTATACTTAAAATCTTTTTTAAAAAGATTTTATTTATTTGAGAGAGAGAGAGAGAGAGAGAGCATGAGGAAGAGGGTACAAGCAGGAGGGGAAGGGAGAGGGAGAAGCATACACCCTGCTGGAAGCCTGACATGGGACTCGATCCCAGGACCCTGAGATCATGACCCAAGTCAAAGGCAGACACCCAGCCAACTGAGCCACCCAGGCGCCCAATACTTAAAATCTTATTTTGGAAAAAAATTAAATTAAATTAACTCTTCCTTTGTGTTAGGTCCTGGGACTGTAAAATGAATGAATGGCAAACAACTTCTCTATGAGAAGTTTGCAATCTCCATGCAGAGAGATACTTGTAACCAAATATAAAGCACTGTGCTAAGTGCTATATTCCAAGTCCATTCAAAACCTTTAGGGATCTGGAGGAGAAGGCAGGTCATTGGGGGGAAGGAGGAGGCTAAAGACTGGTTAGGCAGGTTTGACAAAAGTGGTATAATTTGAGTTGAGTCTTGGAGGAGATAAGAAAGGTAACCAGGCTGGTGGCGCCTGGGTGGCTCAGTCAGTTAAGTGTCCGACTCTTGATTTCAGCTCAGGTCATGATCTCAGGGTCGTGAGATGGAGCCCTGCATCAAGCCCTGCATCGAGCCCTGTTTCGGGCTTCTCACTGGGCATGGAGCCTGCCTAAGATTCTCTTGCTCTCCTTCTCCCTCTGCCCCCTTCCCCCGCCTCTAAAAAAAAAAAAAAAAAGTATCCAGGTCAATAGAACAGCATGGACAAAGGCAAAGTGTCTTCTTGAGCCTGGACCTGGCCGTGGTTGGTGACCACATTAGATACAAGCAAACAGTGGAACAGAGCAGGTGGTCTATCTGTGCTAGGTGTGTATGGAGCCTAGGGAGACACACTAGAAATGATGAGTTCCAATGGAACATGACAAGTTTGGGGTCCCTGCAGAATAGACTTGTTCTGTTCTGGAGTTTTTAAATTTATTGCATGCAATCATGGGCTACTAAGGTAAGGGGGGAAAAGGAACATTTTACTCTTTCTTCAGTCTACCATGCTAACCTCTTGTAGAGGGGAGATCAGACAATGCAACTCCCAAAATCTTGGGGAAAACCAAAAGGAATCTTAAGAACTGCATAGGTTTCCTCTATGCATGCTTTGGTAGGTGGTTGTGACTGCTCCTTAGCCTTTTGCTTGAGGGTCAGTCACATGTGCTTTGGGGTGAAGCCACTGAACTGGTAAGACCATCAATTCATGAAGGTGGGGGTGGAGATGATGAAGGGCAGAGGTTCTATTTCCATATATAAACCAGTCACAATCTATAACCCCAGAGTCAACCAGCAGCCTCATTTAACACATGGCCTTGCATGGATGGACGAATCTGGTCAGAAGTCAATAATCCACTCAGTAAACATGACCCGCCAGCAGTAAGGGAGGACCTCCCAGGAGAAACTCCATAGCTATTCACTGCCACACTTTGCACGCTTAGCATCTCTGGAGCCATGTAGGTGCTAACTCTGAAGCCCAGCCAGGGAGCCTAGGAAGTAGGCACACAACACTCAGGATCTACACGAGAAAGGCTAAGGGTGCATAAGGATATCTGTGTTTTTAGAGCCTGCAGGGGAGGAAGTGGTGAGCAAGGAAGGTAACCCACACCCCTCCTTCTGACAAAGAAGGTGAAAGTTTGACTCCAAACTTAGACAAAAAAATATATACATATAAAAGATGAGTTCCAGTTTAGTTTGCAACGGCAATGAGAGAATCCTGGGGAACTTGCCCTTAGAAGACGTACCATCAAAATACAGGTACAGGGATCTTCGTCTCCTAACCTTTAGCAGAGCTAGACACACCGAACAACATTTGTAAGCACTCACAGCTGAAGCAGTGTGTGTCTGTGGCTTCTCTCTGGGGCTATTCTTCCTTTCTACAATGATCTCCTGTCTCTAAATCAAACATGGTGTCTACATGATAACACTGAAAGAGAAATCAGCCTGTAAAGCTAAAGGCAAGGCTTGGAGCAGAGAAGAGGAAACAGCAATTATTCTATGCCTCAAACACAGCCCTTTCCATGTGAAACCCAGGCATTCATAGTTGTGGTCAGCAGACTGATATTAAATTCTCAACAAGAGCAAACACTAATCTTAGGAGATACAATTCTTTAGCATGTGCTAAAAAACCACCCTATATTTCATTACAATGTTTTAAACATTGTAAGAATCACATAACAACTTAATTCAAAAACACACATCCTAAGAAAAAGACATCTTTAAAATGGAAGACAATTTATTCATAAACAGGCTACAGATAAATCTCACCACTCCCATTTCCCCAAACGCAGGCTTCCTGTCTAGACAATCACTTTGCCAAAGGTAAGAACATGGGCAAAACTTTTTAGTATCAACTTCTGGCCTGAAGGATGAAATTAGGGCATGTTTCTTTAACAGTGGTCTTTATTCTATCACGGATTCAACATCGTAACTTCCCTCCTGTCTCTCAGTATTCTTATTAACAACAGGAGACCAAAGATATCTGTCCATCACCTGCTCTATGCTGCCATCATGAAAGCTCGTATTAAACCATTATTTTCAAGCTCACACTGTGATACATTCTGTAAGGAATGAATTTTAGAGAAATATAAAATAGTCACTGCCCTCTAGAAACTTCAATCTGTGGGAAGCAGGATAATGCACAGGAACTAGAAAGTAAAGCAAGAATCAAGATGGGAATGGTTATGGAAGCAATGGAAGGTAGATAGTTCTAGATTTAATTTCTTGGCTCAGAAGCTCCTTAACCTTAGAAGAAATTCCACTGTCATTTCAAAGCATCTCTACTAATATTATCTTTATTACTCACTTATGGATTGATTTTATAGATGAAAATATTTCCAAACGACCCAACCTCAGCAGAATTCTGGGCTTATGCTTCAATGCTCTTATGAAAACACAATATCTTTTTATGGGCTCTTCATTGTTCATTACAGTATAGGCTGATGATACGGGTATTTTTCCATTAGAACTCAAGCAAACTTTTTTCCCATGAACGTCAATACAAATACAATACAACAATTCTGGGTTATTATTGCCAGAGGCTAGATTGAAATTAATGACCTAGAAATGGAACAAACTAAAAAGTCTACACCAATTAATTCCCAGGGCTCTCCAAAGCATTTCCTAATACTTGAAATTTATCACAAGGAAATAAACTCCTTGTTTCTTTCTCTCTCTTCTTTTTTTAAGGTCTAAGATGATGCAGTAAAACTCATTGCATTTGCTATTCATAATTTATAACCCCACAGCATTCTTCTGTTTATGGAAATGTTTTGTACTTTCATTGATAAGACTTGTCTAGGCCTCAGAAAAAAAAAAGAATTTTTTTTAATTTAAAACTTGAAGAAATAACAGATGGCAATAAATGTGCCAAATCAGCAGTAAAGCCAATTTATTTTATTTTTTATCCATTTCCTTTTTGGGAGATTGCATTTGCAGCTGCTTACAACCAATTGTTTATCATTCTCTGGGGGTTGTGATTTTGGGAAATTAGACTCTCATGTTTGCCTGGAGAAAGTGTTTCTGTAGACAATTGAATTGGAAGAGATCTTAGAACATTCTTCCTCTAGCATAGAAACTCTTTTGCAGGTGGGGCTTACCTACTCCCTGTGAACACCACTTGGAATCCTAGACACATAGCTTATTTTTTTTTAAGATTTTATTTATTTATTTGACACAGAGAGAGAGAAATCACAAGTAGGCAGGCAGGCAGGCAGAGGGAAAGGGAGAAGCAGTCTCCCCGCGGAGCAGAGACCGATGCAGGGCTCGATCCCGGGACACTGGGATCATGACCTGAGCCGAAGGTAGACGCTTAACCGACTGAGCCACCAAGGCGCCCCTAGATACACAGCTTATACTTAAAGCCACAAGTCACTTGTCTCACAAATTGAGACCAGAAAGGCTGACTCTTCTGGGGTCTCATTATTTAAACAATCTGACCTAGTTACATGACCATGGGCTCTGAAGCCCACAGACATGGGTACAGTTCCCAGTCCCAGGACCTGTGTGAACTTCAGTCTCTATTCCTTCATCTAGAGAGCCAGCAAAATAAATCTTTCTTCATAGGGTTAGTTCAAAAAGTTAAATTAAATATAGGTTAATGTGGCCTGGCAGAGTTCCTGGCATATGAGAGAGCAAGTGCCCAATAGATACTGTTCACGATTTTCCTTCTTTCCTATCAAAATCCCAGCCCTTCATTCAGACCTCCTTCAGGAGACATCTTACTGCTCCTACGTACGGTGTTTGCTCCTTTGTATTGATTCGGGTTTTGTTTCTTAAGAACTATGTAATGAGGAGCACCTGAGTGGCTCAGTCGGTTAAGCATCTGACCCTTGATTTTGGCTCAGGTCATGATCTCAGGGTCGTGAGATCAAGCCTCACATTGGGCTCCATGCTGAGCATGGAGCCTGCTTAGGATTCTCTCTCCCTCTCCCTCTGCCTCTGCCCCCCTCCCCGTGTGCTCTCTCTCTCTCTCACACACACACACCAAAAAAAGTATATAATGAATGACTGAATAAATGAATGAGGTTGTGTTGAGAATAAGTCCCTGCCGTGCCTTGGGAGTGTGTCTTGGCCCATGCCAGCCTGACTGTCCCCAACTCTCTTCTGCAGAAGCCTTTCTGACTAACCACAGAGAAAGAGTCACCGTGGAGGAAGGCCAGACACTCACCCTAAAGTGTGTCATTTCTCAGGGGAATACCACCTCCCTGCAGTGGCTGACCCCATCAGGGTTCACCATTTTTTTAAATGAGCATCCTGGTAAGTGAAAAAAAAAAAAAAATCACCACCAGACCTCAACCTGTGGGATTTTCCAGACAGACAAGTTGGTGGGATAGAAACCAACATGAGTCACCCAAACAGTGGGCTTGGCCCACCTTCTATTACATGGGGATCACACCCAGAGGCCTATTACTTTACACAGGGCTGCTTTTTCTGACGGGAAATCTGAAATGGAAACCCCACCGGAATGGTTGGTGAAGGGGGCTCAATTACAAAGCACCTTTCCATGCCCACACCTCACCCCCACATCACTGTTTTACTCTCAGCACCCATGAAACTGCCAACAGCACCAACGACAGGCTGCACACAGACTTGAGGCCCTTTGTCCTCCTGCAGCTAACACCATTGCCCCACATCTGGAGCCGGCTGCTTCGTTTTCCCTCTGAGCAATTCATAGTCACCTCACAAAGCTCCCTTGCAGAGATCCTCTTTTCTCCTGTTGGTCTCAGCACAAAAGCAAGATTGCTGAGCAGCTGAGCAACGGACAGGGCCCACTACTTTGGAAGGGAGGGCAGTCATTCCTATTTTCACAAACACACATTGAGTCCCAGATGCCCGAGATGGAAAGGCACTCTCCCCCCAGCCCCTTCATCCCCCGCCAGTTTTATTGAGATATAATAAACACGTAACACCTTATTAGTATAAGGTGTACAATGATCTAATATTAGGTATTTACTGCAAAATAACCAGCACAGGAAGACTAGTTAACATCCATCACCTCACACACTCACATGGTTTGGTTTTTTTCTTAAGGAAAGGGATTCTTTTTTTTTTTTTAACGAATTTATTCATTTATTTGAGAGAGAGAATGAGAGAGAGATCATGAGAGGGGGGAGGGCCAGAGGGAGTCCCCGCTGAGCAGGGAGCCCGATGCGGGACTCGATCCCGGGACTCCAGGATCCTGACCTGAGCAGAAGGCAGACACTTAACCAACTGAGCCACCCAGGCGCCCAAGGAAAGGGATTCTTAAAGGTCTATTTAGCTCATCTCTTTGGGCAGGATTTTACTAATCCCTCCCCTTCATAATGAGACCATTGTATATCTCCATTTAATATTCTGAACTGCCAAATACTTGGAAAAGTCTCCAAAACAGCAAATTTCATTCTGTTTTGTAAAAGCAGAGCCTCTAAAAAAGTTGATATGCTATGAAACATTTTTTTTAAGATTTACTTATTTATTTTAGAGAGAGAGAGAGAGAGAGAGCACATGAGCAGGAGGGGCAGAGAGAGAGGTTGGGAATCTCAAGCAGACTCTGCACTGAGTGTGGAGCCCAGCACGGGGCTTGATCCCAGGATCCTGAGATCACGACCTGAGTAGAAAGCAAGAGCCAGAAGTTTAACCAACTAAGCCACCCAGGCGCCCCTATGCTATGAAACATTATTACATGCCGCTACGTCCAACATAAACTAACCATATATTTCAAGCTAAATAAACTATTTAGAACCAATAAAGTAAGTAGATGTTAATTGTTAAAAGTTCTCAGAGAAAAACTTTGAGTAGAGATCATTCCTGTTAAATAATGCTTTCTCTTGTTTTGGTTTGGTTTTTAGTAAACTGGGAGAAGATGGGCACTCTCAAATTTCTACATCAGAGTACCTTAACTGAACTTGGTGATGCTCAACCAACAGTTGAGGGTCAAGGGTCATTCTTGCCTTCCAGGGGACATATGGCAATGTCTGGAGAGAGTTTGGGTTGTTATATCTGGAGAAGGGCAGGGGGCATCTAGCATCAAATGAGTAGCGAGGCCAGGATTGATCTGGCTCTAAAAGTCAATAGTGTTGAGGTTCAGATGCCTGAATTCTAGCTCAGGTACCATCAGTGTCCCAGGACACACAGCCATTATTTCAGATGACAAACAACCTTTCTTGGTCAGCCATTCAAGGCTTTAACTATTTTAGGCTTGTTCATGTTACAAATCCAGAGAGAGAGGGAGACAAAACCACTCATTTCAAGAAACTCTGGTTTGCTAAGGGACCTATGACCTAAGACAGAAATCCCAGGTCAATATAGAATCAAAAAACAAAACAACAACAACAGAAAAAAAAACCCAAACACTTGCTATAATCTTTAGGAAACTTCAAATAATAACAAACTTCTAAAAAATTAAAAATAAAAGGGGCTCCTGGCTGGCTCAGTCGGTAGAGCATACACCTCTTGATCTCAGGGTTATGAGTTCAAACTCCACACTGTGTGTAGAGATTAACTTAAAAATGAAATCTTTAAAATTAAAAGGCACCCAAATGGAGTGCTTTTTAGATAGTGCAGGGATAGCCATGCATTTTATCTTCCATTCTTCACATCCATTGTGACAGGACAACCTCAAATCAATCAGATTTCAAAGAGGTAAATTTACTGGGGCATTTTTCATAATGTGAAAAAATGAAAAAAAAATTAATCATCCTGTACCCCGAACCCTTCACCAGCATAGTGTTAATTTCCTACGTGCACAAGAAAAGCAAATGGTTTATTTCGCAGATCCCAGTATCAAAATATTTCATTTCCTAAACAAATGTTGCGCTATTGAGAGGCATCCAGCTGGGAACACTAGAATTTGGAAGGCAGCTCAATCGAAGATGTGACATTTGTTCCGTCAAAGTGTGAAATTCAAAAACTATTCCTGCAAATAATCAGTCCACTGAGAGACTGTATTCATCTGATCGCTTTCTTCCTAACAACTCTTTTTCCCTCTTGTCCAGCCTTAAAAAATTCCAAATACCAGCTTCTTCATCACTCCACCAATCAGCTCTCCATCAGCGTGCTTAATGTCACCCAGCAAGATGAAGGCGTGTACAAGTGTTTACATTACAGCAACTCCGTGAGAACAAAGGAAGTAAAGGTGATCGTGCTAGGTAGGTGCCTGACAGCCAGCAAACCCAGCACGGGAGTGACAGACTTAGGAACAGGACAGATCATTCTTAAACTTCACATTTTAGTTAGAAATATTGCCTAGAGCAAAGCATTTTCTTGGGCACCTCTACCAACTTTTGTTGAAAGGAAAACAGAAGGGAGTATTTTGACTGGTGAGCCCTAGATGAAAATGTGACTTTGTGAAATTTGTCTTTGGCATCAATGAGGTTTCCTGTCTAAGGAACTAAGAGAAAGGAGAATTGATACTTGATAAGCTGCTACTATGTGCCAGGCACTGTGCTAAGCTCCAAGGAGTCAAAGAGGAATCAGGCATGATCCCCACCCACAAGGAGTTGGCACCCTAGTCTAAGCAGCAAAACATGCGTGTAAATAAAGTAGAACCTAACAACAGCATATCCTAAGATAGAATGAATTCAGAGGTAACTGCACCGGACAATTGGCTCACATCCTCTGCCAAAACCAGGTCCTCTCCTCCGGTGGGAGGTGGGTTTGGGAGGTGTGGATAGGAAGTGACAGCCTCCTGGGACTCACTCGGTTCTGTGGATGATCCACTGTATTCAGTGTAAGCCTTGCTGTCTTTACTTTTCTGCTTTTTGTGATGGAACAGATCAATTATAAACATCACTTTTTATTGATCTCTAATTCAGATCAATTATACACATCATTATTTATTGATCTCTAAGTGACATGATTCCACATATCACAAATGAATGTCTTAGGCTTCTTCTGTTGAATTAATATAGCATGGGGCCTGCCATAAAGTAAAGGCGCGGTGACAAAGTATCTGGGAAGGAATGGCTCCCTAGGGGTATTGAGAACCGATGGGACTCAGCCCACCTTACTGGTCACCGCTCAGAGCACTCTGGCTCACGCTGCTTGTGTGCCCTTGTAGGCTCTTCTCACACTCCCCGCATACGTCTGTCACTACACTTAACGCATGATCTTTTAACTAACAGCTTAGCGGCTGAGTCTATCACCAGACAGTTAGCCCCTCAAAGGGCTTTATCTTTTCCATATTTCTACTGCCAGCTAACACATCCCGTGCATACTTGGAGCTGACTTTGCAATGTCTCAATGGCAGATAAATGAGCAAATCAACGTGAAAGTGTGCTGAACCAAAGTGTGAAGTAGAATGGGAAAGAGGAAGAAGTTAGCCTACTTAAAAAGTATACTTGACCCTTGAACCACACAGGTTTGAATTGTATAGGTCCACTTATATGCAAATTTTTTTAAATAAATACAGTCTGGTACTATATTTTCTCTTCCTTATGGTTTTCTTAATAACATTTTCTTTTCTCTAGCTGACTTTATTGTAAGAATACAGTGTAGAATACATATAACATACAAAATAGGTGTTAATCAACTCTTCATGTTATCAGTAAGGTTTTCCATCAACAGTAGGCTGTTGGTTAAGTTTGGGGGGAGCGAAAAGTTATACATGGATTTTCAACTGTGTGGTGGTCAGGGGAGGTGTCAGTGCCCCTAATCCCCACATTGTTCAAGGGTCAACTCTTTTTCCAGGACAGGAATAGGAAAAATAAGGACAAATGGGCCCTTGGTAAGAGAAATGCATCTTTGCTATTAGGAGGGGACAGAACTCACTCACTTTGAGTCAGACACTCGTGCAAGTCTAGAACTGAAACAGCCAACTCATAAAACAATTCCTTCGTGTCACAGACAAGGAAATTGATCCACCAAAACCTGAGGGACATACAATGGTGCTTACAATAACCGGTGGCAGATGGAACCAGACTTCAGGTCTGTACTCTTCACCTACTACTCTACCAATCAAATAGAGTCAGATAACAAATGTGAAAACTGTTGCACCATTGGGAATTTCTAGGGACTAATCATACACTGAGTAACAAGCAATGTGGACTACTGCCAAGGTAGCTTTACAAGTACATAAAAGCCCTGTAACTGTATTCTGGGGAAGATCAAGTTAAAAAAAAAAATGCCCCTTGTTTAGACCATACACTACAATGATCCCTATAGATTATCAGACTCCATGCTTTACTGGGATGTGTAGACCTGCTCACTGAGCAAAGAAAAATCAATTCTCTTCCAGCAACACCTTCCATGCCAACTCTAGAAGCTTCAGTTATCAGAATGCAAAATGGAAAACCACACGTTACACTTAAATGCTCCACCGTGAGAAGTAAGCCCCCTCCGCAGATAACCTGGATTTTAGGGAATGGCATAGAGCTCTATGGTAAGTAGGGACATGGTGCTCTTTCCTCCTTTGTTTTCCTTCCTACTTAAACTTCCAAGGCATTTTTAAATCCTCTGGCACCCTCTGGTGGTATCAGGTGCCAGAAAATAACATTCAGTAATTTATCAGTTTTTTCCAAATTAACTTTATAACCTATCGATATTGTGCCTTCATCTTGAAAACCTATCACAAATAATATGATTACATGCCTATACTTAAAACAAAGTAGAAACCTAAAATGGGATATTACGGTTTCTTAAAATTCAACATAATTTCATATATAGGTACGATATAGCTATTCCCTCAGCCTGAACTTTTCAGCAGCCATAAATTTGAAAATACACTTAACATAATGCTTGTATATTGGAACAGGTAGGCTCCTCCTTATAAAGTACACTACGATGTCATACCCTCAATAAAAATATTATGGTACCAGGCACCTGGGTGGCTCAGTCGGTTAGGCGTCTGCCTTTGGCTCGGGTCGTGATCTCGCGGCGATCTCGCGGTGAGATCACTCACCTCCGGATGGAGTCCCGGGTCGGGCTCCCCGCTCAGTGGGGAGTCTGTTTCTACCTCTCCCTCTGCCTGCTGCTCTGCTTACTTGTACTCTATCTCCTTGTCAAACAAATAAATAAATAAAATCTTAAAAAAATATTAGGGTACCAAAGAATCTACACTTTGATAAAGCAGGGTTCAATTGACTGAAGCAAGATAACTAATGGTCATGCTTGAGAAGTGTTTATAGTTTGTTTACATTGTAACGTATGTTGCATTGGATTTTACATAATCAGAGAGAGATCCGGTCCAATGACAATTCTACATCATTATAAGACCTCTCCTTTCATTTGCCTTATTCATTCACCCTGAGTAAGGTCTTGGGTCTTTGTGTTTGACGACATCAGGCTGTCCTTGTGTAACCACGATAAGCTTTGGATTTTTTTCCAGTAGTGAAGGCTTACAGAAACCTAACCACTGCTATTCAGCTGCTTCCCCCTGTGACTGGGCCAAGCATGTACAAGGCAGCTGACCAAATCTAGAATAACTTAGAAGTCTAACAGTTTTGCCAAGATGTCAAGGCCATCGGTCCCTGAGAGAACCAAACCCACCCAAGGGTACTAAGTAGCCACAACCTCATGCACCTCTTTAATCCGCTCCATAGGTGAAACCCACCATGAATTTGAAACTGATGGGAAGAAATGTAACAGCAGCAGCATCCTCAGAGTCCACACATTGGACAAAAGCTCAACAGTAGACTGCGTCATCCGACACAAAGGCCTACAAGGAAGAAAACTGGTAGCACCCTTCCGATCTGAAGACTTGGGTAAGAAGAACTAATGATTGTCTTTTTCATTTAATTTACCTTAACATTACACTGTCAAAAAAAATTAAATGGAATGGGAAGAGTCCTTCAGAGCGAGATCACTGTCCACAAAGCTCTCCTCAACAGCAAATTCCTTTAATGATTGAAATTTCTCCAGCTGAGCGTCATGGTGCACCTGTTCCAACATTCGGACCCCCAGTTGTGCAGAAAGCCTAGCAGGGCGCCATATGCAAATAGCATTATGCTTGCTTTTTGATAATGCCAGCCGGCATAACTTGGCCAGTTTATTGCAGTCATGTTTTCAGAAAGGTCATCTGAAGCATACTTTACCTTTGTAGTCAACCCAAAAGGAGATAATAGCAACTGAAATAAACCTAAACTTGTCAACATTATTTTATGTTAATATAAAACACTCACACAGTCAAATCAAGCCGTGATTCCCCTTTAGATTTATTTGGTTATAACTGTTTCGCAGGTTCTAGTTTAACCATGTTACTATTCTGGGCAGAACAAATATTAGTAAATAAAATGCCAAATAGTAAATGTGAAGAGGCGTTGCCTCCATTTTCAGAATGTGTTCTCCGATTCCCTCATCAAAAGCAAAAAATAATAATTTTGAAACTCTAGAAAACTTTCTTTTTGAGAGAGAGAGAGAGTAACCATGAGTCGAGAGGGAGAGAGAATCTCAAGCAGGCTTTATGCCCAGCACAGAGCCCGAAGCAGGACTCGATCCCATGACCCTCAGATCATGACCTGAGTCGAAATCAAGAGTCGGATGCTTAATCGAATGAACCACCGAGGTGCCCCTAGAAAACTTTGTGAGTCAACATGTATCTAATAAGGAGTAACATGAATCACGCATCTATAATTAATAAGACTCCGACCTTCGTTATTTTATAAGGTACTTCTCAGTGTACAAGGAATTCCTCAAGTGCAAGGATTCACTCACACTAGCAAAGGAAGGGGCTGCTGGATGAGGATACATTTATTGAGAAAGCTGTTCATGAAATAACTGCTAAATGCAAGGCACTGGTTAAAGAGAACACCATCATGGGAAAAGCGCTCTGCAGTCCTGTGAGGGCTGCTGCTGTGGCTCCCTCACTACCGCACACTTTCCACCAGTCACTTTCTCATCAAACCAAAACTAGCAAGTCTTGAGGAAGCCGCATCTAGAAGACAGGCTCGCAGACTGGGCTGGCTACTATAATCTGACACATAGCCCTGCCTCTCCATGACTCATCCCCTCCAGCCTCTACGGTCAGCGGAGCATAGCACGTGGTCGGGGCGGGGGGCTGCTCCTGAAAGATACTCAGATTTTTTTAAAGATTATTTGAGAGAGAGAGAGAGAGAGCACGAGGGAAGGGGCAAAGGGAGAGAGCGAATCTCAAGCAGATGCCCCGCTGAGTGTGGAGTCTGATGCAGGGCTCCATCTCACAACCCTGAGATCATGACCTGAGCCAAAACCAAGAGTTGGACGCTCAACCGACTGAGCCACCCAGGCGCCCCAGAATCTGAATAGATTCTTAAACAAAAGAACCAATGATATTGGAAAAATACATATTTTTACTCTTCAGCTATTGTTCAGGCCAGCTACAAAAATTACTCCGGAGGGGAAATCACAGTTTCTTCTCCATTATGGCCATAGTTCTATAGGACTCAAAATGATAGCCATAAAATGTTTCTAATAATAATAGGATAAGACTTAACTTTTATTTCTATCTAACTATCGATTATTATTTAGCACTCACTGCCAGATCTCCATTAAGTATTCGAAGAGCAACTCCAATATCAGCTGTTGGTGGCTTCCATATGTTAAATGGCTTTTTTTCCCTTCGGCAAGTGACTACGCTGACATACAGATATTACACATGGTTTTTTTTTTTTCTTTTCATTAACCCATAATGTATTATTTGTTTCAGGGGTACAGGTCTGTGATTCAACAGTCTTGCACAATTCACAGCGCTCACCATAGCACATACCCTCCCCGATGTCCATCACCCAGCCACCCCATCCCTCCCACCCCCCATCACTCCAGCAACCCTCAGTTTGTTTCCTGAGATTAAGAGTCTCTTATGGTTTGTCTCCCTCTCTAGTTTTGTCTTGTTTCATTTTTCCCTCCCTTCCCCTATGATCCTCTGCCTTGTTTCTCAAATTCCACATATCAGTGAGATCATATGATAATTGTCGTTCTCTGATTGACTTATTTCCCTTAACATAATACCCTCTAGTTCCATCCATGTCATTTGCAAATGGCAAGATTTCATTTTTTGCTGGCTGCATGATATTCCATTGTATATATATACCACATCTTCTTTAACCATTCATTTGCTAAAGGACATCTAGGCTCTTTCCATAGTTTGGCTCTTGTTGACATTGCTGCTATAAACATTGGGGTGCATGTGCCCCTTCTGATCACTACATTTGTATCTTTGGGGTAAATACCCAGTAGTGCAATTGCTGGGTCATAGGTAGCTCTATTGTCAACTTTTTGAGGAACCTCCATACTGTTTTCCAGAGTGGCTGCACCAGCATTACACACGTTTTGTTCATCCAAGAAGTTTAAAAAGTTTGATTAGCTGACGATGCTTTAAAACACATTTACAAGTAAGGATTCTGACCCCTTTCATTCCCACACTCTGCATGGAAGGACCTGGGAAAATAAAGATCAGACAAGCACCATATCTGGGGATGTGAGTGGTGTCTTCCTTTGAAAAATCCACACTTAGATGCTTGTGGAAGTGTGATGCTTGGAGAAGGAGAACAGAGCAGGAATAGATCGGACCCTTTTCAAAATGATTTACTTCATTTATTTAGTATTCCAAATGAAGAATCTTGATTTCCTATTACTTAACTGGAGGTGGGATTAAAAAACAAAACAAAACAAAAAAAACTTGAGCAATAGTTCTCAAACTTATGGATTTTGAGACCCCTCTTTACTTCTACAAATAACGGAGGACCCCAAAGAATTTTTACTTAATGAATTGTATCTGTCAATATTTACATATTAGAAATTAAAACTGAAAAATGTTTAAATACTTATTTATTTAAAAAATAATTAACCACTACATAGAAACAGAAATGGTATATTTGTGTGGAAAAATAACTGTACTTTGCAACACCAAAATGTTAGTGAGAAAAATGGCACTGGTTTTCATTCTGAAATCTCTTTGGTATCTGGTTTAATAGAAAACAATTAGGTTTGGGGCGCCTGGGTGGCACAGTCTGTTGAGCGCTCGACTCTTGGTTTTGGCCCAGGTCATGATCGCAGGGTCTTGAGATTGAGCCCCGCGTTGGGCTCTGTGCTCAGTGCAGATTCTGCTTGAGATTCTCTTTCCCTTTCTTTGATTAAATAAAAAGCTCAGAGTGCCTGGGTGGCTCAGTCATTAACCGTCTGCCTTTGGCTCAGGTCATGATCTCAGGGTCCTGGGATCGAGCTCCGCATTTGGGCTCCCTGCTCAGCGGGAGCCTGCTTCTCCCTCTCCCACTCCCCCTGCTTGTGTTCCCTCTCTCACTGTGTCTCTGTCAAATAAATAAATAAAATCTTTAAAAAAATAAAAAGCTGAGAAGCACTCACAGATTCCATAAAAACATTACCCACCTGTCACATATCAGTATCAATATTTATAAAATTTCAGACAGCTTTTCTATACACTCCCTGGTTGCAGGCCTGTTCACTGGTCAAATCTATGCTAAGCTGAATGTGTGGAAACATCCCCAAACATTATTTTGTTTGTTCTGTTTTGCTTTTTAAAGAGAGAGAAGGGAGGAAGGGGCAGAGGGAGAGAGCAAATCTTAAGCAGGCTCCTCGGCCAGCATGGAGTCCAATGCAGGGCTTGATCTCACGACCCTGAGATCATGACCTGAGCCAAAATCAATAGTTGGACACTTAACTGACTGAGCCACCCAGGCGCCCCAAACATCGTTTCACATTATACAATATTACATTTGTAAGCATTGTGCTTAATAAATAGCAAAGCACTGTGCTAAGCATGTTGTATGAATAAAATTAATTTTTGCAAAAAAACTCCAACGATAAATGCCGTTAGTAGTTCCATTTTACAGGTAAGGAAAAACTGAGCATTCAAGAGACTGGGCATCTTGCTCAAACTCACTCGGCAGCAAGTAAGTTAACAGCATCAGAATTCAACCTGTGACTGACTCCAAGGCCACTTAACGAATAAATAAGGATGGAGATAGGTGACTGGGCAGATAGACAGAAGGACTTACAGGTAGATGGAGGTAGAGACAGCAAATAGCCTTTGCATACTATTGTGAAACACAGTGCTCCGGATGCAGCCTGCTGTCCTTCTCAGCCAGGCAGCCTAGCAGATGGGCTAGCAGCAGGATAGAGATTCAAAAACCAGAGCAAAAGCTGTAGAACACGTAGTGCTGAGGTTTCCGCAGAACCTTACAAGCAGGTAGCAGCCACATACATTCTCCAACCTATTGTCCCGAGCACCATGTGGGTGAGACTGTTCTCTGTAGTTGCAGATTTCTGTTTTTCCCCTTTCCTAGTTACGGATCAAGAGACGGCTTCAGACGCCCTGGAGAAAAGCTCCCTGTCCTCTCAAGACCCTGAGCAGCCCACTAGTACTGGTAAGTGTCAACCCATTAAGATTTAATAAAAAAAAAAAAAAATCATGCCTCTTTGGAAAGGGCCATTTTTCCAATTCTCATTTCTAAGATTTTTTTTTAATTTTGACCTTTTTTTTTAAGTGAGGGAGAGAGAGAGGTGGGGAGTGGAGGGCAGAAGGAGAGGTAGAGAGAGAGAATCTCAAGCAGGCTCCACACCCACCATGGAGGCTGACACAGGGCTCCATCCCAGGACCCTGAGATCATGACCTGAGCTGAAATCAAGAGTTGGACGCTTAACTGACTGAGCCGCTGAAAATTTAACTTTTAATAAGACTAGGCAGGGCACCCTGCACTGGCTCTAGCTTAGTGCTGTCTTGGAGGAGCTCCATACCAGCAGTGTTCCCTTAGTGGGATGGGCTTCAGGGTAACTAATACCTTGTAAGTTCAGCGCTATTTTGCTTGATACACACACACACACACACACGTGCACACACGTGCACATGCGACTGTGACATTTGAATTTCCTCTGCAGTAAAGGGCAAGGTTGAATTCATTTACGGAGAGACTCGTTTCTTTGTTTTCTCATCCGGAACAGACCAAACACAAAATAAAGACTTGATTTCAGCAACAGCGGGCAAAGAAGCAGGATCTGGAGATGTGGGGCCTTTTGCCATTGAATAACAAAATCACCTTTGAAAGCATATCAGTTACTTGGCTGTCAAGAACTCAGATAGTTTTTGATGACAGGATTGAACTCTAAATGCAGAATTTAGAAAGCCTGGGTTATAATTCCAGTTTTTTAGACAGTGAACCCCCTGGACGGTTAGCTCTGGGCAATGATCATGTATTTATCTTTGTATTTTACCTGGCATAGTATCTGACACTAGCAGGTACTCAGAAAATGCAGTGTAGGGGCGCCTGAGTGGCTCAGTTGGTTAAGCAACTGCCTTCGGCTCGGGTCATGATCCCGGAGTCCCAGGATGGAGTCCCGCATCAGGCTCCCTGCTCAGCAAGGAGTCTGCTTCTCCCTCTGACCCTCCCCCACTCTCGTGCTCTCTCTCTCAAATAAATAAAAAATAAAATCTTAAAAAAAAACAAAAGAAAATGCAGTATAAATGAATAAATACACGTATGAATACTTTCATTTGTAATGGTGTTTCGAGCAAGAGAGCTTCATCCAAAAAGGGCATAAACTCCTATATGTCCTCTTTTTTTGTTTCAAATAGTGTGTCTCCAGGAATTTCCTTGAGTGGAATAAGAGCTTTCATATCATTATCATGTTCATAGCTCTGAGTATCAGATCACGTTCTTAAACATTTTTTATCTGGAATAACACTTAAAGGTAAATGTTTGGGGCTTTCAAACACCGATAAAAACAATATGTACCATCCAGTTTTTTGAAGGGCAATGGAAATTGAAAATGATCGGAAGGGGCGCAGCCGTAACACTTGCTTTAATAATCCAGTATTTTTAAGCATGTTTAGAATCTACTTGTCTTTAAATTGGCTTACAGCGCCCCTAAACAACCCAATTTTCTGCTCTGCTTTTTCATAGATAAGATTTAATACAGTTTCTAAATTTCCTTTCAGCTTTCAATTTCTACGATTTTATTACTGTTAATAATACCCATTTCCAGCAGAACGGGTGGTTTCATTCCCCGCGGGATCCACACAGTGGCGCTGTGTAATGGGCTAAAAAGCAAGAGACGGGTGGAGGCCAGGAAGAGGGAGGATGAGCAACAGAATCAGAAAACGCAATCTTTCATGTTTACGGCTTCTTGCACCTAGCAAAAGCATCACAGTATATGCCCCTTCTAAGGGGGAGAGGCAAGCAGAGGTTTGAATGACAAGGGAGCCTATTTTTCAACATAAAAATCATTGCTTCTCAGGCTGCTTGGGATGCCGATCTTCCATGCCCTGGTGTTATCTTGCACCATTCTGAAGACCTTCTAATTGGCCCGATTCAGGAAGCAAGCATAAAACAGTGCACTTTGCATTCTGAATTTCAGCATTGGCTCTGTCACGTATCAGGTCCATGACTTCAGACAATGTACTTAGCTTCTAGAAGCCTCTATTCAGAGCTGCAGTGAGAAAACTGCCGAATGCTCTGTTTGGGGCTGAGCCCAGAGCTGGTGTTCTGTAAACATCTACCTTTTAAAAATAAGGCGAAATGAGCCTGGCGAAATCAGCCATTTGCAACTATTTCTGGAAGAAGTCAGTGGTTCAAAAATGGCCTTTTTTTTTTTTTTTTTTTTTTTTTTTTAAGGAGGACAACTTAGTTTGGTTTCCAAAGCTGCTCTGCTGCTTTGGGATGGCTGTGTATATATACACACTATTCATATACAGTCATATGTATGTATCATGTCTTAATTTCTTTCAACTTAGTTGCGGTAATGGAAGATTCTAGGACAACCGAGAGTGACAAGGAAGAGAAAGAACAAACCACTCAAGACCCTGACTTGGCCAGTGGTAAGCATCCCCCATAGCATTTAGAATAAACACTTGACATTTTAACCTCTTAATCAATAAATCCAATGGCCTTTTTCAGTCCCCATTTTTCTTGACCTCTCTATTGGTTAATCACTCCCTTGTTCCTTGACTTAGTTGTCTCCCTGGCTTCCTTGACACACTCTGCCTGGTTCTGTGACTTTTTGCCAACCACTCTTTCTCTGTGTCCATCAGAGAACTTCCCTTCTTCCTCTGGATTCTTATATGTGGATACATTTCTGACTTTACTTCTCCATCCTTGATTCTTCCCTTAATTCTTAAAGAGTTTACCCATTCCCAGGGTTGTTCCTATTGCCACGAGGCAGAAGATTTCCATATTTACACTTCCAGAACAGGCCCCTGAGAATTAATTGCTGTTTCATTCCATCTCCTACATCCCTGTTGCTGGATTTTCTGCCATCTCCTTGAACTCAACATCACTAAAAACCAAACAGCACCTTTTCCCACAAAACCACCTCAACCGAATGATCACACAGGCCCCAAATTTTGGTGTCATCCTTCATTCCTGTGTATGTGTGTACACACAAACACATAGAAAATCAGTCCATCTCCAAAGACTTTTGAGTCTCCTCTTCCAGAATTTTGTCGACTATCACTGCAACCCCTGATCTAGACCCTCATCATCTCCTGCACAAGTCCTATGACTTCAGTTTCTCCTCCTGTGGTCCATTTTTAGGACTATGATCAAAACACCCCTTTGCATTCTTCACACCTGTGTTCAGAAAACATCTGTGGCTCTCCCTGTCTACCACGCGGAGTGGGAGCCTCAAAGCCTCCAACAAGGGCCCTCCATCCCCTGCCTCTGCAGTCCTGTCTCTAAAGTCCCAGGAAGAACACACATTTTTCTCCGACAACATCATCCCATTTTGACTGCCCTGCCCTCAACGACCTGAACTGCCCCTGAAGAAAGGAAAGGCTTCATCTTCCCTCTCCTTACCCTTCTTTCAAGGCCAAGGTCTTCACTGAGAACTTCCTGACTAATTCAGGGACCACTCCTGCCTCTGAATCCCTGAGCACATTATGGTGTTAACACATATGGATCTAGAATTTGGCATCGATTTCTGACTTCTGTTGATTCATGTATTTGTTGCCATAGAGAGAGAACTACCCCTAAAGCACAGGAACCATGTCTTATGCAGCTCCAAGCACGATGTTGTACACAAAGCTAGTGCTCCTTAACTGCTTGTTGGTTGAGAGGGGGCCAGGACATCTGGGCAAAACTAGAGCCCATAGAATCAGAATGTGAGGTTTAGAAAGATCTTCACCTAGTTTATGTCCAATGGCCTTCACGTAGGACCACATTTAACCTAGCCAACATTCATGGATTTCATTTTATTTGCATAGTTTTTCACACTCCTTAACAACCTCTTGCTGCTTAACTACACCTTGCCAAAAAATCAGTCCTTACAGCTCATTTAAGTCCCCTGACTATAATTTAAGTCAATATTCTTGCGTGTTTTCTCTACAAATGAAACCTCACAGCTTCAATCTCTATGTAACTTCAGAGCATTTTTCAAATTACCTCACAGAATTGCTTTGTTTGTATGCCCGTTGGCTTGTTTTCAGAGAATAAATAATGTGAATCTCTTTCCCTTCAGGGTAAAGCTCTCTTTTTACCCGAGTTGCCTATCAGCCGACACTACATTTTGAAAGCATTGTGCAAATTCCTCAGTAACAAAAACAAACCAACCTTGAACTGTCTAAATTCATTTCATTTTCCGTACAGAAGCCAGTCTTCAGTATGTGGGGGTGATAAGGAGGAAAAACGGCATTCTGCTGCTCACCCTTGTGTCCTTCCTCATCTTCATACTCTTCATCATTGTCCAGCTCTTCATAATGAAGCTTCGGAAAGCGCACGTGGTGTGGAAAAGAGGTGAGTGGCAGAGGACCCGATGGGGCGCTCCAAGGCGCCATACCACGGGGCTAAGACAAAGGAAATTCTGCCAACTAAAGCCTTTCTGTTAGATGCTGCACAGTCTGTTGGATAAGTGTTGCCATTCAAATAAGCAATTGTTGGTTTTGCAGTAAATACAGAATGTGAATCTCCAGGGGCTATAATCAAAGAGTGCGTAACCAAGAGAAATTACAGTAGCTCTGGGAATTGACATTAAATTATAAAAGCTTCTAGTCACAAAAGGATCCTGAGTGGAAAACTCAATCATTCATTCAGAAAGCATTCATTGAGCACTTCTTGTGTGCCAGACGCTGTTTCAGGCGTGGGGGATACTTCTGTCAACAAGAGAGACCAGGTCCCTGCTCTCAAGGAGTTCATATTCCAAGGACAGCAAATCAAAGTTTGAATATAGACTGTTTGGGTTCTGTTCTTACTTTGAAAGAATGTATTCAGCTTCCCTCACCCATAATATGTGAGTAATGTTTCCTAAGCATTCTGATTAAAAAGTTATCATTGGCAACTATATATATATGTATATATGCCATATATACATATATAATTTATCTACCATGGAAGGTACCTATTAAAATGCATAGATTCAACACATATCAGGGCTGGAAGGGACCTTAGAAGTTATCCAGAATAACCATCTACTCAATTCATTCCATCTGTGTGTACCAGGATAAATCCCCTCCTTAATTCTGAGTGATTATTTAGACCTATGCTGCCCAATACAGTGGCCACAATATGGCTATTGAGCACTTGAAATGTGGCTAGTCGCTTTTGAGAGGTGCTGGAAGGATAAAATAGACACCCAACTTTGAAAGCTCAATACACACACACACACACACACACACACACACACACACGAATGTAATATGTCTAATAATAATATATTGGATCTACTAGGTAAATAAAATAATTATTAAATTAATTGCATCTGCATCTTTTTGCTCTTTGAGCATGGCACCTAGAAAACTTAGAATTACGCACGTGGTTCGCATTCTAGTGGTGCTGGACATCGTTGATTAAGCCATGTACGACTCCAACATCTCCAAGTAGCTGAGATCTCATTATGTCCCAAGGCAAAATACTTCCCTTTTGAATGGCTCTCTCCCTACTGAAAATACAACTTCTTCTAGTTTGATGTCAATCTCTCTATATATTCAGCTGGACTAACTTTCATCATAAACAGACCTAGAGACAGGGTCTGGTTTTTCAGCTCTACCTGTGCAATAGGCAAATGCCACAGTATTGTTTCAAAATCTCCCATTAATCCTTCATCCCCGTAGTTCTCTAAGGGCTACTGGAATTGTCCCATCTCAGAGAACAATACTTGATTCTAATCTGTGGTCATTTGATTCCCACAACTCTTACGCTGCCTAGCGCAGTGCCTGTAGGAATCAGAGCAAAAAACAAAAACAATTCTCGGAATGAATGAGGACATGAGGTATGCAGGGGCGAGTGGTAAGTCCACTATTGTGCAGACAGAGGGCTCGTCTTATTCAAACATACCTTTGTACATATAGGTGATGTCTGGGGCACTCGAAATTAATAACATAGTTTTCTTTTCTTGCAGAAAACGAAATCTCAGAACACACTCTAGAAAGTTACAAATCCAGGTCAAATAATGAAGAAACATCATCCCAAGAGAAAAAGGGCCAAAGTAAGTCAATTACATGACCTCAAATTTGAAAAATGAGGTTAATTTGTTGCCTTTAAGGAGGAGGGTAAAAATCAAAGTCTGATTTTTAACACTAGAAAGTCAATCAACCTAAATCATCTCGTAGAACACAAGTAAACCTTCCAAAAATGAAAACTAGCGACCATGAAGTTCCTATGGCTGCAGATATGCCCCCATGGGAAGCCATCCATGAGTTCTTGATGTCACATGCAGGCACATGCTGGGACCATATGTCCCTCTTGTGCTCCGGGGATCTTACATACATCTTAACAATCCAGCACTTTCCACACCCCATACCATCTGGTCATTTCTGATGTGTTGATTTAGCTACCACAGTCCTCCTTCAGGTGGTGAGTAGCTGGGTTTATCTATGTTGTGTCCTCAGATTCTAACACAGGGCCTGATGCCAATGGAGTGTCGATACATTTGTGTTGAATAAATGAACACAAGGCTTAACTGATTCAAGCAGACATATTTTGGGTCTTTTGATGACTCCATTGTAGCTTCTCAAGCAAAATATGTAAAGAAAGTGAAAGGAAGAGTTTCTAAAAGGAGATTGTGTATGTGCACATGCCCATGTGTGCATGTGTGTATTCTTGACAAAAATCTAGTACAGAGCATCTGGTACTACAAGAAAGCAAGAATCTTCTACCTTTCTTTCAACCATTTTGGTTCCTCCATTGCAAATTAACTCATTCCACCTGCTGAGAGTTGCAAGCTAGGCAGAAAAGCTTAGCTGCTAGTTTCTATTGGTTTCATTGAGGTTTTTGTAGGAAGCTGGCCTTTCACAACACCTCTGCCTTTTTTTTTTTTTTGTTTTGACCGCTTTGACCCAGTAAGGTGTGAAGTGGAAAGAATCGCTGTACTAGCTGGGACAGGAGAAGAAGAGGGCAAACCGTGAGAACTGGGGGTGGAAGAGGGAAGTGTGTGCAAGGCGCAGAGAGTCTATTGTATCGCACATGTTTCTAGAATGTCAGTGTTCTTGTCCTCGACTGGCAAGTAGGAGAATTTTGTCAGTATGACATGTTAGTTGGATGGTTTCCTATGCCATCTTTCTTAAGCAAGGGGAACCAAAACAGTGGGTGTAGAATGATAACTTTCAGCAAGAAAAGAAAAGCCCTCGGCTTAACTGTTGAACAAGGAGAAAGCCTTATGCGTCTCAACTTTAAGAAAGTTGAAAAGGACTACCTTCACTCAAGGCTCCCTTCCCAGAAAGGTACATCCCTAGGGGCTGGCCACGGATTGTGAGAGGGGCTACTTCCAACTGAGCTCCAACCTGCACTTCCAGCCTCCTTCCCTGGGCTCCCACCAACCCAGCATTTCAACTTCACTATTTTTACTCACTTAAAAGGTGTCCTCTGGAACTGTCTCCAGCCCTGCATATAGAGTTACATGGGCTTTGAGTGATCTGCCCCAACCCTATGTTTCCCATAAGCCCTGTTACTTTCAGTATGAAATTTGCTAAATACAATGTGGGGGGTTTTTTTCAGGTTTTTTTTAATAGCAGAAATGTCTATATATTTTATTTCAGGTTTATTAGTATATTTACGTAAAAAGACTTTTTAAAAAAATCGGCCCATAACAATGCATTCAGACCATTTATGATATGCATCAATTTCAGATTTGATTTTTTAAGCCATTAACATATGAACCTAAAAATACCATGTGCAATCAAAGCATCTCAAATAAATGGGTGCAGTATTGTTCAAAATAAATGGTCATCTTTGACATATTTTTCTTTCAGCTTTCCACTCTAAGAGCTACATGAACTACATCACACGGTTGTACTCAGAAGCAAAAACAAAGAGGAAGGAAAATGCACAAAATTCAAAATTAAAAGAAGAGCTCACTCATTTACCAGAGAGCATTGTATAGTGCTCTGTGCAGTAGAAAATATGATTTGGGGGGCAGCTGCATCATCACAGTGGAGCAGCCTATGGGAAGGAGCATAATAACTGTCACATGAAAAATAGACTTTGAGTGCAATGCAAGATGGTGTCCTCCCATGGCAATCTGCTCTGGATTCAGAGTCATGAAATGAGGACTGGACCGTGGACACAAAAGCTTCATAGTTTAAAAAAGAAAGGAAAAGAAAAGAAAGAAAGGAAAAAGAAAAGAAAAGAAAAAAGAAAAGAAAAGAACCTATTATGTCTGACACTACTTCAGAGCAGGAAGATTTTCCCAAGCCTTGGAGATCAGGGTTGATTTGGCCAGCAAACATCTCACCCTGAAGGGAAAAGGAGGTCCAGTTGTCCCAGAGGATCCAGTTGAGAATCACATGTTTAATTTTAGTCTCATTCAGTTTGGAACAGTTCCTTAATCTTTCCTGCACATTCATGATATTTGGGATAGTTTTGAAGATTGCAGCTTAGTGATTTTGTAAACTGTCCCACAGTTTGCCTTTGTCTGATTGTTTCTTCGTGATTAGATTCGGGATACAAAACTCTGACGGGACTGTCATGGAAGTGATGTTTTGGTTATGTCACTGTGTTTTAGTTATCCCTTTCTTGATCACTTGATGAGGGTGCTCTCTGCCAGCTTTCCCCACTGCGAAGTTCCTCTTTCCTCCTTTGTGAGCTGATACTTTGTGCAGAGATGCTTTAAAAATATGTAGATATCCTGGGCACCTGGGTGGCTCAGTCGGTTAAGCGTCTGCCTTCGGCTCAGGTCATGATCCTGGAGTCCCGGGATCGAGTCCCGCATTGGGCTCCCTGCTCAGCGAGGAGCCTGCTTCTCCCTCTAACCCTCCCCCCTCTCATGTACTCTCTCTCTCTCTCATTCTCACTCTCTCAAAATAAATAAATAAATCTTTAAAAATATATGTAGATATCCTGTTCCTCGTCAAACATCCAAGTCACTCATTTATTTATGGACTCACGGTTTCCTGTTATTCAATGAGTTACAATCTGTTACTATCCTGTCTCACTCACTGGGTTATAATCTGTTACCATCAAACTAATCTCTTGCTAATTGGGTGATCAACTGTGGAAACAGGCTTCTGTGTCCTTCTTATCCTCAGCCTTTGAGCACTTTCTTCCTTTTTGGTACGAAATATCCCAGGCTCATCTTCAACTCTTGCTATCCCAACCCTGTAATGAGCCATTTCTCCAAGGATCCCTGATTCCTTTTAGTGGAAAATGATATTTAGAAGCCAAAACCCAGGGGCTATGTATGCACATTGCCTTTGGGATATCACTGTCCTCAAGTCATCTCAGTAGACAGAGCTAGGGAATATATGAAAAAGTGGGCATATAGTTGACCCTTGAACAACATATGCTTGAACTGCCAAGGTCCACTTATACAGTTTTTGTTTTTAAGAGTTGACCACAAAAGCCACAGGGCATTTATTTATCACTGCCTGCCCCAATCTCCAAATTAAAGGCAACTGGTGTTTATGGTCGCACCTGCTGCCCTGTGAGTACCCCAGGAGACCCACAGAGGCCATCAGCAGCCCCCAGAAACTCTGGATCCCTCCCCTCCACATCCTCCATGGTCTGAGTTCCCTGCTGGTGCCAGGGTGGCTGCAGGCCTCGGGCCCCTCCCAGGCAGGGCACGAACCCCTCCCCATGCAGCACCCTGGCCCCGCTGCCATCAGGAGGCTGGCGGGCTCAGAAGTGGTCACAGGTGCCTATCCCCACAGGCAGTGGTGCACCTCCAGGCAGAGGGGGCAGCTGTCTTGCACTCCCAGTTGCTATCACTGCCCACGGCCCACTGGGGAACTGCTGCGGCTGAGCCAAGGCCACCAGGCTGCAAAACAGCACCATCCAGAGGCCAGGCCTGTCCCTGCCACCACCTCTGTCCTGGCCCAACCACCCAGCAGGTGGATTGTTTTTTCAATAAATATATGTACAGTAATGTGTTTTCTCTTCCTTACGATTGTCTTAATAACATTGTCTTTTCTCAAGCTTACTTTATTCTAAGAATACAGTGTATAATACATAGAACATACATAATATGTGTTGATTGACTGTTTTGTATTTTCAGCAAGGCTTCCGGGCCATAGTAGCCTATTAGTAATTAGGTTTTGGGGGAGTCAAAAAGTCCTACAGCAATTTTTGACTGGGGGGTCACTTCCCTAACCTCTTGGTGTTCAAGAGTTAACTGTATATATGGATATATGTGTCTATGTGTGTGTATATATTTAAATCTATTTAAAACCATGGGTTTTTTTTTTAAGATTTTATGTATTTATTTGAGAGAGAGAGCGAGAGCATGAGAGAGTGAGCTCAGGAGCGGGGGGAGGGGCAGAGGGAGAAGCATGAGACCCTGAGATCATGACCCCAGCCTAAGGCAGACAACCGACTGAGCCACCCAAGCGCCCTAAAACCATGGGTTTATTCTCGTTTTCTCCCTTACTCTATTTGTAACTACCTTTTCTGAGAAACCCAGTTTCATTATCTTTAACCTATTTACTTACTTGCTCAATCTCCTGTGTACATGAGGTCTCCCAACTCTGCTACCATTCCATTCTCCTGGAGCACGTCCTCTTCTTGTGCAAATTCTGACTCCACATGCTGTGCCCCCAACCTACCGGGTGGATGCTTTCCTCACCAAGCTTGGGCTCCGACCCCACACACCAGGTCACCCCACTATATGGAAGTCCTAGCCACACACATAGCTACATGGCCACCCTCCCCACCCACTCGGGCTCAGTCACACATGCCGGGCAGTCCTCCTAGGGGCACCGCCTGTTCACCAGGCTCAGACATCCCTCTCTCAGCCTCCACAGCTTCCCCACCAGCACCACCATGGACTCCTACTTGGCTATACCCTACCCAGTGGTTTTAGGACTGAATTGTTCCAGAAGAGAGGAAAGTGAAGAGTTATGAGGAGTTAGCTGGAGGTCCTGATTTCTAAGAGAGTTTTAACCTGATATCAAGATCAGGCATGCCATTTATATAGTTTTGTAACAGCTCTGAAGCAGAAATCGTATTCTGAAAACAGTCCAGAGAGAACAGTTTCACTTCAGAGATGGTGCTCGTCACGTCTGGTTAAATCTTGCTACTGCATCGTGCTACTCTAAGTCTGCGTTTGCAGATAACCCTCCCCAAGTACGCTCACCGCGAATGTTTCCACTGCTCTGGTGCCTTTTACGCAAGAAGCCAACCTAAGGTGCCAATGTTACAGCACCATGCAAAGCAGAATGCAGACTCAGCTAATCGTCAGGATCACCAGAGAGGGTTTCATAAAACTGGGATTCCCAAGTTTGTGCTCAAAGATAGGCCTCGGGAGACCTAAAGATGGAGTTTCGGGATCTGCATTTTTTTTAAAGCCCCCTGAGGGATTCCAATAGGTGAGGGTGCCTTGCTATAGCATAAGCCAAATTTTTTTAGCTGAGCAGTTATACTATCATTAAAGCTGAATTAGGAATAATAATTCTCAATGTAAATTTGGCAAAGAGCAGAGGAAAAACAGGAAAATGAAAGATTTCTGGGCTCAGATAAGCTTGAAAAGTGCTCAACATTATATCGCCCCCATAGAGGTGGTGATGCACATTAGCATAGCAAAGGCTCTCCCAAGTCTTCTTATAAAGGAATCTCATTTCATTTAACCCAGCAAAGCTCAAACTTAACCATCTAGAGCAATTCATGATGTTGGCCCACCCAGTAACCATTTGCCCATGTCTTCCTCCTTACTAATGGATCTATGATTTTGTTCCAGTATCCATCCCACACTATGTAGTCCTGTGCTTTAGGGTAGGTGAACCTCATCCGAAGCTGAAAAGAGAAATCACGATTGGTCTGAACCAGTTATGGTCCCATTCCCCTTGTTAGTGGTCAGTTTATGCTGGATACATCAAACACTGGGACGTGAGTGGACGTTCCCAGAGGGCTTCTGGGAAAGATGTTTCTTTTCTTTTCTTTCTTTCTTTCTTTCTTTCTTTCTTTCTTTCTTTCTTTCTTTCTTTCTTTCTTTCTTTTTTTTTAGAGAGAAAGAAAGCATATGAGCAAGCAAGAGAGGGAGGGGGGCCCAGGGAGACAAAGGAAGAGAATCTTAGCAGGCTGCATGCTCGGCGCAGAGCCCAGCCTGGGGCTCCATCTCAGGACTCTTGAGATCATGACCAGGGCCAAAATCAAGAGTCGGTAACTTAACCGACTGAACCACACAAGCACCCCAATAAAGATGTTTCTTAATGATAAAAAGAGATACTCAGAATGAAAGCATCTTCCTTCCCCTAAAATGTTGTCATAACTGTGAGTGATGCTTGGAATTGCTACAGCCATTGTAAGCCCATCAAGGAAATCTGAGCCAACACAGTGAGAAGGGCACAGAAAAAGAACAAGATGACACGGAATCTTTGATGATTTTGTTAATCTTTGAAGATTTCAGAACTTCTTGTTAAGTGAGATGAAGAGCCCCATATTGTTATTTAAACCAGGCGAATATAATTTTAAATGACAGCTCCAAAATGGAGCATCTTGTGAACTACGAAACAGTTGTTTTATGAAATGTTAGTGTCCTCACAAACACGATCTGGGAACCACTGATTTAGAGCAATTCTTTTGTATGACAGATGAGGGAACTGAGAACCAGAAGGGTTTCCTCAGCCCATCAAAGGCCACACAACTAATTAGTAAGACAGTTGGGATTAGAAACTTGATATATTGGCTCCTAAAAAGACCAAAACAGGATCCTGCTTCTCGCCTTACAATAGAACTTAAATCCCCGATCCCCGAGAGAGCATTTCATGCTCACATCTTCTTTTTCATCAGATGACGGAGCTAAGGAAAAACTGAGAAATTTCCATTTAATGATCCTTCTTTATCTTACTTTTGGGGAACTAAGTCAAAAGGATGCTTATGTTACTTTCTCAGAATTGATTAAAAAACAAAAAACAAAAACAACCCAAACCAAATTTTCTGGCATCATTTGTACCATCTACCATTAGATGAACATAACAGAGAGCAAAAATTATACTACCCAACAGACTGAGCACACATCAAGTAGTGAGGCTCCCTGCAGATGAAAAAGATGGTTTGAACTGCCAATCATTCGTGAGTCCACCAATTTAGCCTAACAACATAATGTCCTGTTACTTCCCCTGGTTGAGGTCATGGTAATTTGCTATATTTATAATGAGGTTTTGATCTAGATGAGATGTAGTTCTATTTTTACAATGTTACACCTTCTAAGAGAGAGCCCTCTTCCTTCCTGTGATGCATTCATTACTCTAGACCTGGTGAATATGTTAATTTTTTTCTACATTTTCTGTTCTACATCTGATTTTCAGATAGAAGCAAACTAAAAGTAAGGCAGTAAAAGCTTATATTCTCCCCCAAATGTCTCACAGTTGATCTAAAAAGGGGAGTGGGAGAAAGATCTTGCCTAAATGTAGAGGGCTAACTTTGCAAGAGCATCCTGTACAGACATTTTAAAAAAAGAAAATAATTCTGCAT